CGAGCGTTCTAAGCAAAATAATTGCAGTTCAAGAAATTCTTGGAATCATCAAAAGATAAAATTACCTAGGGCACATTTACAGAGGCAGTAGATACGAGTTCCTAAGACCCATAATACAAGACGTAATTGATGGTAGAGAGCGACCGAATAGGAGAGAACGCTCATGGCTGGGAAATGTGAGAGCTTAGACGATTTGCCGAAGTCAGTGCCAACCATCAAGATGGTACCTTAAGAAAAAGATATAAAAAGGTGTACATGACGATCTCTATCTGTTGATAATTAAACATCATCTATTGCTTTGTCACATAAAGCTGTAAAGGATTTTATATGAAATGTCGCTCTATATGAACTGTCACAACACAGCATGGATTCCTTCCCAAATACTCCACTGCAACTAACTTGCTGGACTGCAAACTATGACAACTCTGACGCATCAGATATAATTTATAATTAATAATTATTTATTGCAGAGTGGACACTGTACGTACCATTTTTAGTCCCAGTGAAAAGCTTCAACTTAGAGGACACAAAAAAATTGAACAAAGAAGAGTCAGGCAAATTGAAAAAAATTGGAAAAAAAATTCTTTCGAACCGGGTGGTGTACTCGTAGAACGCGCTTGCAGAACATACTGTTACTGCCCCTAGTGTAAATGCATTTAAAAACCGATTAGACAAAGAACTAGAACAAAGTGCAACGAGCACGAACAAAATAAGTGAACTGCTGCCTGCTATTGACATTACTTGATTACGTGATTACATAGAGAATATTCTAAGGGTTATATTCCTTCAAATTTTTGTAAAAAATGTCATACTCAAATGTCGTTAACGTTCCCTATTTCTTTCAAAATCTCTAACAAAAACCACGTCTTTATCATCATCATTATTTTAAAGGAATTGTATAAACATTCTAAATACACAAATTTCCAAATGATCTATGATCTTTACACATTTTAAGGAAATTCTCAGACTGGCGAAAGAAACAAGCCGTCAAAATATGTCAGTTCTATCTCTTAAATAACCATCTCTTTCACTTTTGTTTGTGGTAGTGATGATTAGGGCTGATTCTTTATTGTACCTCCACCCTTGCGCATCCACCGGAGAATAGATTTTTTTCTGCAAACACATTTCTATTCAAAAGCAGCTCCGAAGCTTTGTGTTGTTTAGTTACTAATTTAGTTATTTATTCATTTTTCTGTTTGCTCTGTGCTAGAGCGACAACAGTATATACTTTTAAGAATAAACAAAACGTGCATTACAACACAATTACATAATTTAATATAATTTAATAAGTTTTGTTATTAAAAAAGAAAGAAGAACATGCTTAAATGCATAAACTCAAAATGTGCAATATTTCGAACGAAGAAAAATAGAAATACTATTAAAAAATAAACAGTAAATTGGAATCTCGAAAAATTAGACGATGAAATCCGCACCAAAAATTTCACGGATTAAGTGAGATTTGCAGTTCGGCATTAGAAGCACGGAATAATGAATTAAATGCCGCTATGTCATATGGAATGGTATAGTTGTCACTATTTCGTAACAGTCGACACAACCATTGAAGATATTTGGCAAGAAAAGAATATCAGTTACTAGGAGAGTCCATAATGCCTTCTTACGTCATTGTAAATGTTATAACCAGTGTTAAGTAAAATAACATTTTTAATTATTTTACTTATGGAAATTTTACAAATATCGCCGTGGAACTTTTGATTCACGGTTTCACGTCCGTTTGTCGCCACTGTCGCGCATTCGGAATGCCTTTAGATCCCATTAAACGTAAAACTTTAATAACTGTTTCGCATAAATTTACGACAGAAATAACGTCTCGGGTCAATAAATAATAGAAATAAATTTTTGCGCATGACTTCTGTGCATTTTGAATAAATACCTCGTTTATTTTACTGGCGAGTTTAGCTATTTCGTTAGATTAATGCGCCGATACAGTTAAAAGTGGATACATTTGGAATTATTATAAACGCGCATAAGGAAATGATCGCGTCGACAGTTTAATATATATCTTCGCATGTTGCGCAAGTCCGTTTTGCATTGGGAAATTATTTGGGGTAAAAATATTTCAACGGTTACGCACTTGCTGTTGCTGTGTTTAGCAATCGCTAGATTCCAAGTTTTGATAATTTCCATGGACCCTGGCGCCTTCCAGAAGTCTAAAAATTTCCAGTAACGCAAAATCTGATTATTTAAGGAACGTTAACATAACAAATCCAAAAGGTTGGATAGTTTTGCTTAAAAAAGAAATCTTCCAGAAACGTATTTTTAAGAAAGCAAGTACTCAGGGCTCACTAAATATTCATAAATGAATTTAACTTTCAGTTGTTTACTTATTGCCAAGTATGCCTTTTAAAATTGTTCAAAACAAAGGAGTTGACGAAACAGTGGTTCTAAACTCATGGCAGGCCAATGGCGTGCTCTCTTGGAACGCTGAAAGAGTCAAAAATGAACACAGAAACTTAGCACAGCAGTGCTACATGGTGGTATTTTCCAATATAACATTGTCTTGATGAAAGTCTAAATTTTCAATTTTTATTTTAGTTTTAGCATGCTTCTATAAAAACTGCTACTATGTTTAAATTATTCCCAGTCTCTCTCAGCTTGTGATATCGATAAGAAAAAAAAATTAAACATCATAAACTCAAAACCATAGCTGTCATACGAGGTTTACGCCAAAATTTCCATGCCTGACATAGATGCAGCTCCATTATCACGATAAAACTTTGTATTCTTTTAAATATATATCTTAGTAAGCTGTGCAAAAAACAATTAAGTCTTGCGTCAAATAGTTTTTTATCGACAGCATTTTAAACAAGACGTGTCCGAAAAAATGTCGCAAATAACGCAAATTGAGTATAGAGCAGTCATAAAGTCTTTGACAAAAGATGGGTGGTTAGCACCTAAAATTATTAAAGAAAGGCTGGATGGTGTGTACGGCCAAAGTTCTCCTTCGTATTCTGTAGTGAAAGAAGGGGGAAAACGTTTTCGAATGGGGCAGGAGTCCCTTGAAAATGATTCGAGAACTGGTCGATCAGTGGAGGTCATAAAGGAAGATATTGTTGATATTGAGTGGTCGACGTTTAAAGGTCAAGGAAATCTCACAAATTACTAAGCTTTTTGATACAAGTGTTCGTCGATTCCTGCATGGTCATTGAGGTATGCATAAGATTAGTGCAAGACGGGTTCCTAAAAACCTATTAGCTATTCAAAAACAACGCCGTGTCTAGCGTGCGCGGTCTTTTTTGGAACTCTGTGGGACGGAACCGAAGCCTGTGATAGAAACTATGGTGGCGGGAGATGAAATAAGGTTCTCTATTATGACCCTCTATCGAAAAAAGAATCAATGGAGTTTCGTCGTAAAGGTGAAGCACCTCCAAGAAAATTGTGAGTTTGCCAGTCAACAAAAAAGGTGATGGCCACGATCTTTTGGTATTGTGAAGGAATTCTTTTGATAGATTTTAAAGAAACTAATACCACTGTGGTAAATATGGTAAATATTACGCAACATTATTACATACATTGCGAGACTGCATACGTGTAAAACGTCGAGGAAAACTGATCAGATAATGCACGTGTCCATACTGCTGGTGTGGCACAAGCTGCCATTTTAGAGTGTGGGTTCCAACAGATAGATCATCCTCCCTACAGTCCAGATATGGCCCCCAGCTACTATTATTTGTTTGGATATTTGAAAAAGGGCTTAGTGGACAGCGGTTTAACGATGAAGTTGATTAAAAGAGGCTGTTTTAGCTCATTTTGCAGTCAAATCAAAAGAATATGTTTTTAAAGGGATTGAGTCGTTAATAAAGGGATGTAATAAGTGTATTGAAGATAAGGGGGATTGTATTGAAAAATAATAAAAAATTGTTACTCTACTTTGTTTCTTTCATATTCAGGCCGGGAAATTTTGGCGCTGCCCTCGTATACCATCCTCCATGTTTCATAGCAACTATCTAGAACATTTACAAGATGCCCACCCAAGATTTTATCAAGTAACGGAAACGTTTTGGATGCAATATTATAAACCTAAACCGTAGAGTGTTTTGGTATTTCTTGAAAGTCTTCAAAAAAAGCGAAGGTTTCTTATAAATCAGTTATAAATATCCTTTATTTTATAATATAAATAATATAACTGAGAAAAAATTGGTAAACACGAATATTACGGAGCACTTAAATCGATAAGTGAAGGAAAACGTTAGTAAAAATGATATACGGCCAATAAAGTAGTTAAATATAAATATAAATAAATCTGAACAAAATTTGTCAAGTTGTGCTTTTTAAAACCCTCTTTGTTTTATTAATGCATTCTACCATTTACAAAACAAAAAAGCAGCAGATTGAAAGACTATTGGAAAACGTATTTCAAACTGATACTTTTCACAATGTTTTGGCATTAAACATGCAAACATTTCCTAGAGGAATATGGATAGATATGTCTGTATTGCCACGCCTTAATGAAACATTTGACGTTTCAGTAACTGACAATATTTTTAACTTGGTTGTATTTCACAAATCAAAATTCTATATTTACGCGAGTGCTTAGCCAATTATCAGATAAAATATGTAGCAAAAAAAAACATGCTCCTGGCTGTGCGATTCACACTTCCCGCCAAAACTTCGGCCAAAAAAAAACAGTTATTAATAACCGACCCGGAAAATAAACGCCCGTCGAACTTTCATCGCCCATTTTTTCGAGCTCGTTTTGCCGAATGAATAATTGTCTGTAATTAAATTTTGCTCCGCGTTTAATTACGCGATAATTCCTTTGGCGTTTTAGTTATCTCCCGGTTAATGTTTATTCTGATTTGTCTTGGGTCTTGTGAAACTAAAATGGCGTCTACCGATATACCAAGTGTTCTAGTAAGAGCAACGAGGTGCGGTATTAGAACTATGAAAAAAAAATATATTTTAGAGTTTCAGAAATAGCCACCTGAAGACGGAATTTGAAAACTCTCGGAAAGAGAAAAGAAAGATGCTCAAAATCCGTATAATAAATTTATTTATTCAGATTATTACAATGTGTGTGGATGTCTGTGTGTGTGTGTGTGTGTGTATTTCTAATAATACAAAGTGGGTTTTGACTGAAAACTTCACTGGGTACCGTTAAAAGATCCCGCTTCGCAATAAACTATCTTCTAGTACGCTTGCAACAACCTAAACGAAACATTTACAAAAATATAAAATAATACAAAAAAAACTTTGGCTTCGATTCGTTAATAAATAATTCGTCCGCTATAATCAGAAAAACAAAAAAAACATGTTAATACCGCATCGGCTAGAATTTAACAAACATTTACTCCATACTGGTGAAGTTTTGCGCTAATATTTACAAAAAGCGATTAAATAGTTAAAACACTATGTGATAGCATAACCGTCCGGTAATGAACGCGTCGAGTCTGAGTACGGGGTGTTTTGATGAAAAATACCAAAGGAAGAAGATAGCACCATTTTATGACACTTATTTGTCCACATAATACAATATTAAGATCTCTCGAACTCAAGAACCCATTTTTGAACATTGAAAATATTCCATGAAGTCATTGAGGACTTTTAGGTTTTTTATTTTGTTTTTTAATTTTGTAGCGGACAGTTTTTTTTTAATGTGGCTATAGACTCGATTGGAAAGCATATACGACTTTTTAAAGCTGTGAAATTAATGTTTAGATACAATAGACCCCATGGAAATTTTTTTCAAGAATATGGGTGGCTCCTTCATCACTCCACAAAGCGGTTTAAATTTTATGTCAACAGAAAACATCTATTTCAAAATTAAATTGAATTAAAAAGTGAAAATAACTAAAATAAGATGTAAAACTTATTTTTATTAGTGATTTTGACAGTGAGCCTAAACAAAAACGAATGCTGAACTGAAAGCTGCCCGCCTACAGCTTATGGTTAATGCTGGAATCCTAGTTCAACATCTTTTTTGTTCATTTTCTTTACTTAAAAAAATAAAAGCGAAAAGGCCTTCGTTTTTACTATATGCTATCTACTGAGATATTTTTTCCAAACACCCAGCGTACCTTTAAAACCGTCTTCAACCATAAACTAAAAACAGCATTTCAAGTGGGTATAACATTTTTTAAATTAAAACAAAAAGTTAAAAATTTCGACGCATCCATTGCTCAACGCTGTACAACGACTATAAGAATTTTTAACGTGCTTCAACCATTAGTCTGGCAAGTTGTGAGTGTAGGAACTTTAAAAAATCCACTTTAAATGATATTTTATACCATAGCGTCGTTATTTACAATAAATCATCTAAAATATACGTTAACACAGGTCGTTTTTTTCTACAGGTCGATATTAAGTGGACACCTCGATAGAGTCGACGTCGTCGTCTCGCTGAAAGGGCGGAGTGCTTATGTAAACCCTAGTCGGGTTGTAGTAATCTTGTCCGTTGGTCGTAACTTTGCCCACAAAGTTCCTTATTTCGTCCAGTCTTGTATAAGCCTCCTCCTTCTCCGTTTCGTTACTGCTACCGGGCGAATCCGCCATCGGCACCACCCCGTTACCGTCGTCCGAGTCATGCTTCTTCAAGTGCCTATCTAGGTTCGTCTGCTGTCCGAAACACTTGTCGCACAAATGGCACTTGAATGGTTTTTCCTTGTTATGAATGTTGCGCACGTGCCTCTGCAAGTTGCTCGATATGCTAAAGCTCCGATCGCAATACCTGCACTTGTAAGGCTGTTCCCCGGTATGCGTCCTCAAATGCCGCGTCAAATTGGCCGACCTCGGAAACACCTTTCCGCAAAATTTGCACGCGTACCTGTCCTTCATCTTGCCCTGAGTCTGTTGATGTATGACGTCGTGATAGGGTTTCACCGGACTGAAATTAGGCATGGCAGGTCTGAGTAAGTCCAAGCGTTGATGGAACGTGCTGTTTAAAAACGGGAACCTGTGAGGCGGAAACGGAAGCATCCTCTCGTTAGCTTGTTGGAAGGTGTTAAAATTCGACCTGTATATTTCCAGCATCATCGGGTACGTAGCTCGCGGATAAGCCATCGGTGGCGTGATCGGAGAGGCTTTCGACGTTTCATCCTCCCCCACAACGTCGATCCTCTCCCCGGGTGGTGTGGGCGTACGCGATTCTAGTATCGGTTCCGGTTCGATCTCCTTTTTATCCACTTCTAAGCGAGAGTGATTCCAACCGGAAAGATCGAGAGGTTGCTCCCCCTCGTCGCTACTCGACGGGTTAGATCGCGTCAAACTAAAATCCTTGGGGTAATCTTCCTCGCTCGACTGGGGTAAAGGTCTCGCTGGCGACGGCGTCAGGTTTGCCTCCTCCGCCGTTGGAGGGCTGACCTTTTCTGAGACGGGCAACCTGGGCGGCGTAACGCGCTCGTCATTGATATCGCTCTCCATTTTAACGCAGCCGGCCAGTTTGGTCTCCTTCTTCACTTGAGATACCTCGACTTCCGCTTTCGAGCAACTTTCGATTTGGATGTCCTTCAACGAAGGCTCGTACTCCAACTTAACTTTCTTCGTTTGGGGTTCGTCGTCGAATTGGGAATAATTGGGAAGCAATAGTGGAGGAATGAAGTTCCTCGTAGGTGCCGAGTTGAACAACGGGCCGTAAGTCAAGGGGGAAAACGGGAACGGCACAGGACCAGCAGATGGCCTGTAAAATGGATAGTTGCTGACCATTGGGTACTGCCGGGGCACCGCCAACGAAGGGTTTTGGTTATCGCAGAATCGTTTGTGTTTGCCTAACGAGGAGCCGCTGGAAAAGCACTGGCCGCACTTGTCGCATTTGATACGCAGGCGGCAATCTGTGTGCATCCGCTTGTGACGGCACAGGTTGGAGAATTGGGTGTAAGCCTGGAACAAAGCAATGTCGGTTCAGGAAAATGCTTCTGGTCCCTTGTGGTGTGTTATAAACAAAGATAAACGCAAATGCTGAACCTAATTTTTTTTCAAGATGTAGATAAATTCCTCCAACATCCAAATGCCATGGGCTAAAGGCAAATAAAGATAAAATAAAGAGTAAAGTCAAGAACGAAGGGTGGAAATCTTCAGAAGATTGAGAAATACAAACGGAGGAAGAAAATAAGGGATAAAGTATAGTATATTACAGGAGACCAGAGAGACATTTTCTATCGGCTATTCATCTATCTCATAACTTATCACCTTTGAATGAGATATTTTAGCTGGATCCGATACCAAACTTTTTTGTAAATGTTGCATTCACTAGAGTATATTCTTAAATTGTGTGTTTGCTTTCACTTTTTGCAATAACACCTCAGATAAAATAGCACTTTTGATGTATTAATTTCTATATATCGAACTAAGTTAAGACAAAAACAAATATGGGACACTAAATTTGTATCAGGAATTGACTTATGAAGCCCAGTTCGTCCACACACTATGTGTGTAGCGTCCAAAGTGTATATTTTATTTTTCTATTATTTCTTTAATTTTTCAATTTAAAAACACGCGAGTATGTTCTCAAGTTGTAGCTTATAATCGAGAGTTATTTCCAAATAATTAAATGATCAAAGCCAGAGAGACAATATTATTTGCAGGATGTGAATTAGAAAAAGTTTTGAAACAAAAGTCTATCAAACTTTTAGTTTTAACTGATTTTGATAGAACTCCTTATAACTGAAAATTCACATGACGTGATTATTAGATGGCATGTTTCATTCCGTATTATCTCAATCACGAAGAAAGTTACTTCAAGTATTTTTAAGTTAGTCAGCAATATACACATCCTTTTTGATGTGTGGGCAATACCCTAATGTTCGAACACTTAAATACAATTGAAATTAGCAGCAACTGACGTAAATTCACCATATTGAATTGCAGTGAGTTTTTTATGCAGCGAACTTTAAACGAGCAGTTTGATCGAAGATTATGTAATGAGAAGCTTAATTTGCCTGCAATTTTAATAGAAATTTAAGATATCTGCTACCTTAAAACAGACTTCGCATCGAAAAGGCTTCACAGAAGAGTGAATGTGGGTGTGCTGCTTCAGTCCGGATGACGTGCCGAAAGTCTTGCCGCATTCGGGACAAACGTGAGCCCTGGCGCTGGTGTGTTTTGTCCTGATGTGTCTCTGTAGGTTGCTGGGATCCGTAAACACTTGGGCACAGTTTTCGCAGTGGTACTTCTTGTGCTCGCCGTGTTCTTCGGAACGGTGCCTGATTAGGCAAGAACGATTGGAATAGCCCCTCGGACACAAGTCGCACTTGTGCTCGTTTTCTTTATAACTATGCTGGACGATCAGGTGGTCGTTTAGTCTGGAAAGTAATTAAAATTCTTATTTTGTCAGATAAGTTTGCAACATTCGTTTACGAATTACCGATGGGATTAATAAAAAATGTAATTGTTATGTTCGACGCAAGGTGACATAGTTCAACCAAATCTTATCGTTGAAAACGCTTAAAATAAGAAGGTCTTATTTTGAGTACTAGCAGAGATACTGTTCAACCAGCTAATAATTTGATTTTCTACAAGGCCATGTTGATTTTATTTGGCCAGTGTCTCCCCTATTCGGTAAAGCTAGATTTGGAATTTGGAATTCTTTCCTGGCCAACGCCCTGCATATGTGAAAATAGACATCATATCATTGACAACGAAAAAACGAATAACCATTCAAATGCAATTAACTTGAAGACTACACAAAATGGATTTAAATCGTGTGAAATTCGGCACGTGTTGCACTGGTTAATAACAGGACTCGCGAGGTTTCCGTGTGTGAATCGCTGAATATTTTATTAATTGTGTCGCGTATCATCGCACGATAATCCATCAAGAGTCGATTTCTAGAAAGTATTAATAAGAACGGACTGGCTTGACGTAAATTGACGTGAATATTTGATAGGCAACTAATTTTTTTAATAAAAAACAACTTCTAATTCGGCGATATTTTTCCCCAGCCGATTAATCCGCATCTGATCTCAAAGGCTAAAAACAAAAACACCGAAAACATAAACTCAAAATTGCGGACACCAAATTCAATTTCCAATGTTTCCTAATTTAACAATTCAACCTTCAACCACCACCTTTAAAATTTTGCCAAAGAATATTCTACATCAAATGAAAGTGACAAAAAATTGATAGAATCACATTTTCAGTTAAGTGATTCGCAATTCAAAACGGTCGAGATAAATCAAAGTTTCACAAATAAAGATACCGATCAGTATGTCATTTTTAAAATGTACAAATAATGCCAAATAAAAGTGTCCCTCCCGACATGAACTTTGTTATTTTAAATAGAACACCCTATATATTTCGACATTTTTGGAATCCTCGGTTAAAATAACGGTCACTTTCTTCAGAAATTCCCATTCAAATTTCGCATAGTTTAGGCAGAAATTGAGGATATGTTTTTTTTTTTAATATTTTGATTGTCCCATATAAAATTGTGTTGTGACGCTACTAATGAAAAAATATCGACTCTATATTACACAGTAAGAGTAAATTTCTAAAATATAATTATAACATAAAAAGGTCTGCTCCCTCGTGCGTCCACACCTGGATTTTTGTTCCTGTGTGTGATCACTTTCGTATAACGTCCAGATACAGGTCATAGAAAGAGTGCAGCATGGGTTCCTGCGCTATATATAGCATTTAAGGAGTGAGCTTTATTTTAACCAAGGATTCCAAAAATTTTGAAATATACATAGTGTCCTATTTAAAATAAGAAAGTTGCGTAAAATTGTATTGTATCAAAAAGATTATAAACTTTTCCACGAAACTTTTTTTCGTTTCTCCTATGGGTTTCCAGATCGAATAGTGGTATTCGTTTTATTTGGCACACGGTGTACATTACAAAAATACTGCCACCAAATAATGTTCTACTTCAAATATTCACTCATAAATTTATTGTTTCGGGATAAATTATCTTAATTTTCCTAACTCGGGTTGCACTTTTAAGGCCACGGAGAGACAGAAGCTCTAAAAAAACCAGGACTACGATTATACCGAAAGCAGCGTCGATATCACGCCACTGTCCAGAGAATGGCAAAATAAAAATATGTCCATCAACCCCACGGGGAATGTTGCTGATATCGTGATGTCTCCCTGAGCATGGAAAACTATTTATTTATTCATGGGTCATTTTGAGGATTTATGAGTTCGTGTCGGCCTTTTTATACCGTATTTGTTTTCCGAGTGTGTTTGTAATGTGTCCATTGAAATACAGTCCGAGCAATATTACATTTTTTAGTGTTTTCGTTCTTATCTTTGTGAGTCTGTTTGTTCAAGTGCGGAAAATAGTTAGGGAGGGGGTATGGGTTGGGCTTGTATGTTCTACCACATGTATCACTCTATCATCTCACTAATGATATAAAATATCTTATAATAAAATGGTATTGGTACAACCTTTAGAAATACAAACAAGAAAAACATAAATTACATATTATACTTCCAATTTTATGAACATTTTTGTTTGTAGTATATAATGCATTGTTTTGAATCAAAAATGTATATTTCTTTCTGTATATACAGGGCGTCTCACTTGTAGGGAATGTGTTGCCTTGGCGATTTCAAAAAATGTCAAATGTCAAATGAACATATACCCAGAACGCTATTCCAAATGAGTTACAAACATTTGAAATTTTTATTTATTTTTTTATTTATTTATTTATTTATTGAATTAGTTGCTCCAGTACTACGTTCGGCTGTTAATATTATTATTAAAAAGGACTTCCTACAGCTACTTCTCAACGTCCTGTTCACTTGCTCAATACTTGCTCTTACTTAATACTCAACCTTCTACCAGTATCCGAAGAATAGGTACCACACCTAACCTCTACAAGCTTTAAATCCTGCCCTTCAAGACTTGAACTTAGTCTCTGGATATTGAAAAATCAAAGGATTTCTCGGATATTATTTAGCGATGAAGCCTGATTCCCCTAAATGGTATCAATAACACCAAGAATTCACATTGTTGGGGGCATCGCACAATCGCGGAAATCCCATTTTCCAGATAGATTTTCGGTGAATATTTGGTGTGGCATTCTTGATGGTCCGTTTATAATTTAAGCTCTCACGGCCAACCGTGATTTACGTTTCCTTGAATATGACGTCTTAATGTAAGACTACAAATATGGATTCAGCACGATGGCGCACCTCCTCACTTTAATCGCCAAGTAACAGAATTTCTTAATCAAAAATATACAAATCGGTGGATTGCAAGAGGTTCAGCAATTCTTTGGAAAGCATAGTCACCCGAGCTTTATCCATGAGATTCCTTTTTATGACGAAGATTGAAAACTTTAATTTATGCAGAAAGTATTGAAAACAGAGAACAACTGATAGCTAGAATTATACAAGACTATGTATACAGCAACTGGGTGGACATTTTGAACAACTTTTTTTTTCAAATGTCAAATGCTTGTAGCTCAGTTAGAATAGCGATCTGGATACATGTTTATTTGATATTGTTAACTTGGAATCACCCCAGCAACACACTCCCAAGCTATGGCAGTCACATCGTCGGACACTCGAGCAACCCTATTTGTCCAATTTTACTTTAGGAATATATAATATATCGAAAATATACCTGACAAAAAATCTAACATGAAATCAATCTAAAAATAAACTTGATAACTTAATAATGAAAATGGTTCATATTTCTAACTTACCATACAATTTAAAAAAACCCTGTACTAAAATTTCCTTTATATATACCTTATTTACCGCGAATTGTTAATATTGTCCTAGAATTGAAGCAAATATATGTTGATATGTTTGGTAATGGTTTTTATTCTGTTAATATTATGTCGCACAAAAAGTGTGGAGGCGAGTGGATAGTCAGTCAAAATTTTTATGGAGGGTAATTCGGTTATCCATTAACATTGGAGTTGGTTCATAGTAAATCGTTATCAAATTCACGTGGTCTGATGTAGATGAACAGCAAACTGACCTACCAACTAACTCATTTTTGAAAGGTCTTTAAGCAAAAACGAAAACTAAAAATTTCTGGAAGACGCACAATCAAAATAAAACCCCAAAAAAATATTAAACAATTTCTGGCGTTCAAACTCTGGCTATTTCCAGAAAGCGTCGCAAAAGATTGGAAAACTCACCCCTCAATATCGAGGAAAGGTTGATCGCAGACTGAACACCACGCCCATTCGTTCTCATCTCCTTCCCTCTCGTCCACTAGGGCCACTAGAAATAATGCAAAAATAAGAATTTTGACTAACATAAACGAAAACTGGGTTATGCAAAAAAAAATACAGCTAACCGCTATATCGTCACGTGAAACTATAGAGTCGGAAAGCTACAGGTAGTCCAACCCCTTGTGGTGACCTCTCGCCGACCGCAAATATATCCACACTAAATAACCAAAAACAAAACTAACCCCCGCGCGGTGCATTTTACACCCCCCACCACCCTCAACGATGAAACGGTCAAACGAATCCATTCGACAATTTCATTTCACCCCCGTTTCAATTGCTATTGCTACTGTTATCGCTGAAGTGTGAAGGGGGACGACGGTCACGATACGCACAAAGCATATGGGGGTTAATTCGGTAACTATTAACGTTCCGCTTTTGTGGGGCGGGTTTGAGAAACCCGATTTTTCGGACAAGTGCGGCGAACGACATTCGCAAGCGTCGCGATTGGAAAGCGGACCAGGAACCGGCGTGTTCAAAAGTGAGGTTAGAAAAACGAAGGCAAAGAGACTCGCGTGTCGTGATTATCAAAGGCGGCTTTGACCGAACGCAGCCAACTATGAATAAGAGGATTTATGAAACAATAAAGCATCGCGCTCGACTACACCCTCTTTCACTTATAGCTGTTATTATTGTCGAAGAATAATAATCGAAATAAGGTTAGGTACAAGATGAACGTGTGCTATCGATTACCGTTCGTTCTGATTCTTTGTTTTGCGTTTGGCGCTTAATTTGGTCTTATTGTTTAAGAAACTTCCTCGTGTCTCCATTTTACGTTCGTCTCTGGTTTGTCAGGAAACGCGCAGTGCATTTGTTTTAGAGAGAAAAAAATGTTTTGTAAATTACTCTGAAAAATGCTACATAATAAAAAATATTACATAATAACTAATAAACAAAAACGAGGAAATGAAACCAAAGACCTGGGGGTTCAATTCGTTTCTAAGCTTTCGTTTGCTTTGTCGTCCAAACCTGTAACGCTCCGGCAGCTTTTAAACCTTCATCGCTTGCTAGAGGCTTTGATCTAATGACGATTTGAAGCGACCGTAGTTTGTCACATGAGTTCATCAGAAGTTCTCTTTTTCAGCGAAGTGTCGTAAACAAGTTGTAGTGCTGGGAACAAATGAAAAGTTGCTTTTAGCTATACGCGAGTGGCCGAGCGATCAACTCTCATAGTCCTGCGTCTTTGTAGACGTCATCGAAAAAATCAAATGGAGACATTTCTTCCTTTTTTTCTCTTTTTTCTTATTGCTTTGCGTCGGAGTTTGTATTTTGTACGGGTTCCAGTGTCACTGAGTCGTCTGATTATTATTTTTAAAGATAACTCAGCTTCTGCTGGTATTTATGTACACTAATGACTAGACCTGGCAAAAAAACAATTCAGTTTCTTTCACTTAGGTTCCTCTCAGGAACTTACGGACTATATGGCACATATGAAGATGCGCGTAGTCCATGATGGGATAGTCCAATTTTCGGAAGATTTTCTTGAAAACTCTTTGAAATAATCCCTTCAGCCGATATCACTAGTAGAATAGTGCTTGCATTAGCCAGCTGTCAGATGCTTTTTAGCTTAATATTATCATTATTATTATTATCGGTCTCAGATTTCTCTGCTTTGCAGGTATTGGTGATGTGATATTGGTAGAGGGGAGCTTCCTCCTATACTACTTCACCTAAGCTCAAAAATTTTCGAACAATGTGACATATTATATTATAGCTTTTTGTGATGCATCTGTATGTCTAGTGTCTCCAAGTTTTTCTTTAAATTTTTTGTAACAATTACCTTCGTTGACATAACCAATGGACATATGGTTACTTCGTTAAAACGCCAGATTTGCTTTATCTGGCTAGCCAAGTCTTCATATTTTCGAACTTTCTCAGCTTCCGTAGTTCTCAAATTGTGAGTCAGCGGTATGGCAATATCACAATAATTGACCCTTTTTTTTCTGTTTACCAACCACGAGAATATCTGGACTGTTGTGAGCAACCGTTGTATCTGTTGGTACCGGACGATATCAGTATAGCAGATGTGACCTATTTTCGAGAATTGATTTTGGTTCATATTTGTAAAATGTGGGGGAATCTTTAGACAAAAGTTCCCATTTCAAGCCTAGTTGCTAACATATGATGTGTGCTATTATTATTATTTAATGGATTCCTCAGTCATCGCTGGATGTGGCTCCTTCCCAGTTTCGGCATTGGCTGCAAGAAGACAGGTGGGTAAGTTTTAGGTTATTTTGAACATGATTAGATGTTTAGTTGAGGGGGTCGTTAAGTACGCGTCTGATAATTCCGCTGGATTCAATGAGAGTTATTTTTTGTAGTGTATGGCACATCTGTTCTCTAATGTTGAGCTTGATTAGGTTTTCGATCAATATATATGGTATTTCTCCGGTTGCGCCTATAATAATTGGTACTACAATGAATCTTTCTTGGTTCCACATATCTTTTATTTCATTGGCAAGAGCTAAGTACTTATTAATTTTCTCGTCGTGCTTTTTTTGTAGGTTTGTGGCAAGTGGGACGGAGAAGTCAATCAGCTAAGTATGTTTGTTTTTTTTTCTGTAAACACCAAGTCTGGTCTATTATGTTGCAGAGGTAGATCGGTTATTATTTCTCTGTTCCAGTACATTTTTTAGTTTTCCGTTTCAACTACACTTTTTGGATTGTATTTGTAGTACGGTATTGCCTCCTTCGTTTCTCTGTCGTATAGTTTCAAAAGTTCTTAGTGTTTTACTTTGCCGATGTTGCCATGCCGTTTGGTGTATTCTTTTGGGGCAAGCGTTCGATATCCGCTTATTATGTGCTCGATCGATTCAGTTTGTTCTCCGCACATTTTACATTTGTCTGTTGGAATATTTTCCTTCATTATGTATTTTTTATAATTTCTTGTTGCAATGAGCTGGTATTGTATTGCTATTACAAATGCTTCGGTTTCGGGGAACAAGTATCCTTGTTTTAGCCAATTCAGGGACACGTCTTTGTTGATATGCGGTTGTTATTATTATTATTATTTTTAATAGCAGACGTCACATATACCGCGGAAGTAGCTGGTTGAATTTTGGAAATATTATCAAATCCTGTTTTTATGCTGTAACTTTAAAACCTGGGAACTCGAATTTATAAATTTTTAACGTGGAACGAGATAACCACTAATCCAGCGACCTCTACCACATAATATCAATACGACTTCCGAAATTTGAACAATAAAAACCCATTTAACGCGAGCAAACAAAAAGAAGTCGTTCCATTATGTACACACGTATGACCCATAAAAGCGTCGGTAATTTTACGCACACGCCCCGTACACATGTACCGCGGGACAAAAAAACCCTTTCCGAAAGGGGTAAGATCATGTCACGGGGGTTGTTTTTACAACCCCCCGCCGACTGCTGTAGATCCGATTAATCAATTTCTCGGGGGGGTTGTGCATTTGACAAACACTTTTTAAATTGGCGACGAGATATGTCGTTGTGTACGTTGAGGTTATGTCGTGCATGAGGACGTTCAAAAAAAGTCGTCCATTTTCGAAAGAGCGGCAAACCTTTAACGGTTTGCGCATGGTAGAAAAAGAGTCTATGAAGCTTATTTCGGATGATTTTGCATTGACATTGGGTATGTTTTAATGACATTGTATTTATTTTTACGAAAAGAGAATTTTCGGACACGCGATTATTACCACGAAGCTTTCAAAGAGAGATTTTACAAATAATTATTTGGGTAAAAACCTGAAAAGATTTAAAACATTATTATTAATTAATTTTCGACTTTTAAAATATTAGTATAATTATCATACATTAAACTTTCAATCACCCTTACCCCGGGACATACCTCTTTACCCATATAAAAGTTTAACTTAACGAAACTTAATTAAAAAATAACCGTTTATAAAAAAAAGTGACGCACTGTCATAACTACAAGACTGACAAACATAACTTTAGCTTAAGATTCCGTGGGTTAATTATTTCCCAGCGTCGTAAGATTGTTTGAGAAACGTACTTATACAGTGTATCGCTTGTGCAATAATACCCTCTTCAGTATAAGACGTTAAAATTATTTTAGACACAAGATTAAAGAAATACTGTGTAGCGTTTCATGATTCGATCATAACTCTAGTAAGAGTTTCATCACACTTTGGGTTATTTAGGTTATTTTGCCGTAAGAATAAAGTATTGTCACACCTAGGGTCATGTCTTTTATTCTTGCTCATAGATATAAATGTATTCTTATTGGTTAATTTAATTTCTGATTAATATTGTTCTAAAATTGCTTGTAGATTCAAAAATGAGGACTACTTGAACACTGTAAAAGATAACAGATTGGGTGGGTCAAAAAAACGATTATTTATTGGATCTGACACATAAAAAACTATTTGCTAGTTACCACTTATGAGCTCTTAATATTAATGGGAAAATTATCCTCATTACAGTTTTGCAGTTTCGATTTAGTTTCATATATCAATAATCATATCGTACCACCAATAGATCATTCTTTTCACTACATTATCAGCACCAGAAGTCGGAATATTACTTTTTCCCATAGTTTAAGTTGGTGAAAAACACACATCTCTTTCACTGTTGGTAATTTTGTGTCAAGAATTTTTGTCGTCGGTTTGCCGATAAAATGTATTTCGTTATTCATATTAAATAATTAGCATATAATTAACATTTATCATAATTATACTAGCGGTTAATTATTTGGTTATAGTAATACACAAGAAAACACAACTCGGAAGCTCCAAAAACTTGTACGGAATATAGAAATATAAGAGTCGACATAGAAACGATATAAAACCACAGATGCCGCTAACACGACAAGTAGTGAATGAATAACACAATCACCATTTTTTTAAAACTAAATCCCCAGACAAAAAAAAATAATAATAAAATTTTTGGAAAAAAAATTGAGTTTAAGTGAACCCGTTGAGAAATATCCAATTGTGATTAAAGTAAAATTATAGAAGAAAATATTTATAATAATAACATAATTATTAAA